ATTCGAAACCACGCTAGCAAGGGGAGGACTTCAGTAGAACCAAAGCTAGAGCCAACTGAGCTACGAGGTGGCTACCGGAAGCCGTGAGTTTAATCACAATTGGGGCAATTTACCTGCCCGGTCTACTGCAAAATGTGGACTTCACCCATTCGGATACAGTAAACTGACTGCCCAAACAGGATTTCCTGAGCAATCAATCTAGGATCCACCAGATGACTACCAGGCACAGTTAATTAGTAGGTTTTGTCAGATTTGATTTATTCATTTCACCCACTTGTGAGTAAACTAGGCAGCCAGCAAGAGTAAGGCTTTTATTACAGCCAACGCTCTAGTCCACTTTGCTATGAGGCTCCCACTGGGAGCCGTGAGTTTAATCACACTTGGGTCAATTTACCCGCCTAGCCTACCGCAACATATAAACTCTAACAATTGTATAAACTGACTGCTTAAACAGGTTTTCTTAAGCAATCAATCTATAATCCCAGTAAGGGGCCTCAGAGTTGACTTGGCTAGAGCGTTGGCTGTACTGAAGCCCTCCCCTTACTGAACTGGGTTCGAATCCCACCAAGGCCGTCAGGTTTTTCACAACTGGGTCGAAGGAATTAGTCGAATTCGCCAAAACCCCTTACTAACTAAATGTGCCTGATAGTCATCTGGTTAATTCTAGTTTGACTGTGTAGGAAATCCAGCTTGGGCAGTCAGTTTACTGTATCAGAATTCGTGGAGGCAATATTTTGCAGTAGACTGGGCAGGTAAATTAACTCAAGTGTGATTAAACGCGCCGGGGGCCTCGTAGCTCAGTTTGTAAGAGAGCTGGCCGTACTAAAACCTTCGCTTTGCTGACATGAATTCAAATCCTACCGAGGCCGCCGAGTTTTTCAAAATTGGGTGAAACAGAATGCAGACTCCTGAACTAAAAATTGCCGGCTTCCCTGGGGAGCCATAATACCCCACTGCAGCCGCAAACGCCTCTCCGAAAAGGACTTGTCTCCTGAAATCGACCGATAAAGATGGGCGGCTAGTTCGAGTTCATTAAACACCCGCTTCCGTCAGTGATATCATAGTATCCGCAGCTTTTCATTTATCGCTGCCAGATGGTCGTCAGATCGCGATAAAAGCCACAAGTTCATGCATATGAAAAACCACCATTCTGGATGTACTACTAAGGGATGACAGGAGGCCTAGCTGCACGGTCCGTCCATGAGTGACAGATAGATTATGGGTTTTCAGTGACGGTCAGATACTAAATAAGTGTGAATACACCGAGAGGATTTTCAGTAGCCAGTATGGTTAAGACATTTGACTAGCAGTCTGACTTGATTAGCATCACTTTGCGCATACTGTTCTGGGTGATGGACAAGTGACGTGTCTTCAAAGAAGGCTAACTACCAAATGGGCGGGCCCTGGGATCTTACGAATACTGGCAGTCATGTGCTAGCAGCGGCTTTGACACAAGCGTGCGGAGAGGTGACATCTGTCACACCGCTTATCCCGATAACGGTGCGGTGGAACAGGTCGCACAGATAGGTCCGTGAGCTAAAAAGCCAGGGGAGAAATCCTCAAACAAATTATCACAACAACTGTTGAGGACCAGTCCGTACACAATGTTCCCGCTAAAAACCGCTTGCAGGAGTCATCTGGGTCGGGCCTGATCCCAACTCTATTTACCCTTAGTACCAATAAATGAAATTTATTTCTGTGTGATCGACAGCATGCTGAACTGTGAAATGCGCATGAAGTAGTTTATAGTGATTCGACAATGTAGAAAGAATAAAAAACAACTCTTGGAGTTGACCCAATTGCGAAAAAACTCGAGGCGTTCGGCGGGATTTGAACCCGCGTATCAGAGAAGGCCTTTACCAGCGGCCAACGGTCTAACCGCAAAGTTACAAACGCCCTGCCTCGCGCCATAAATTTAATCACACTCGGGTCGATAGTGCCCGCCCAACTTTACCGTCCATATGGAATCCACCAATACGGAACAGCAAGCTGACTGCCCAAGCAG